GTGGGAGGGAAGGGTGGGGAAACTGAGATAGGCAGGCCTGGCCTCACCAGCCCTGACTGCCACCAAGCAGCACAGGTCTGGACTGCTAGCTCACAAGGGGAGTGCCTCCTGTGGGCTTGTCTTGGGCCTGGAGACCCCTCCCACTAAGGAAGCAATGGCCCTTGGACCATTGCTCAGAGTGAACGGTGGCTCCGCTCAGAGTTTGCATCCTCTTCAACACCACCTGAGAGGCATCCAGGGCGTGCATGGGGCTGGATCTGAGCAGGCTCAGGCTTGGTGGACAGAGTAAGCTCCCTCCTCTCTCCGGCAGCTGGAGCGGCTGGGTAAGTGTGGGCCTGGTTAGCAACTCTGAAGTCAGGTACACCTGGGTTCCAATCCATTCCCCATCGCTTCTGTTCCTCTGTTGGAGAAACACTCCTTCCTCCTTCCTCCTTCAGCCCAGGGGTTCAGGAGAGGCTGCAGGTATGGGACCTGTGACCAGATCTGCCAATCAGCACGAGATTCTTCCTGCCCTGCGCCTTTTACCTGTGTGATCACATGACCCCCAACTGTCAAAGTTAGAGTGAATCCTGGGACTTGTGTCACAATTCCCAGGGAGAGACCCTCTCAGCTCAGCCAATACCTTGCTGTGCGACCTTGGACAAGTCATGTGAGTCCTGCTCTCTTTGTGTGGAAAACGAAGACAAGTAATGGAATATGGTAAGACTCTAATGATGTTTATAGCGTGCCTATCTCAATTAATCAAATGATCAATTAACAATGGCTACTCTTCCCAGGTAATTCCTCTTCCTGTTAAAAATAAGAAAGTAGACTGGAGAATGTTGATGATCATTGATTGAAAAGGAGATGGCAGAGGTGTGCTGTAGAGGGGGGGAGTTACCCTGTGGCTGAGGGTTCCCTCCCAGGGCTTCCCCACATCCCCTGCATGACACAGACCTGGCTAACCAGCGGGGATGGGGAGGGGAGCCTGCTGCTCCCACAGGCAGGCACCTAAGCATGAGGTAAGAATGGCCAAGGGCCACCTTCCAGAAACAGGGAGTGTGACTCAAACTGAATCAGGAGTGGGTGAGGTCAGCCTGGGTCCCTGGAGTTACTCAGAGTGACACTGGTATATTATGCCTGGCAGGAGTGAGGGATGAACCAGGCTCCAGGAAAGTAGGTGGGGCTGGAAACCACCCAAGACAAGGAAACGGTTGGGTTTAAAACTCCAGGCAGGCAGAGCGTGGCCTGAAGAGCAGCAGGCAGGGGCTGAAAGTGGGCTTGGCCAGGACGTTTTTTGAGGGTGGGGTCTCCAACTCCCCCTCTGAGTCAGCACTGCACTTGAGCCAGGAATACAGCGATCTGGGACATCAGCCTCCCCCCTTCAACTCCACAGCACCAACCTTTGCTCTGCTGGGTCCTCCCACTGTAGGAGCTGAGACAGCCCCAGGCGGCACTGTCCTCTGCCTTGCCAAGTTTTTTAACTTTTATCCCCTTGTCCTGCTAGCATTTTTTCCCTTGTCTGTCACTCTGTACTGGAATTGGTGCTCCTAGAGGCAGGACAAACCTATCTCACTCACTGCTGTCTCTCCTGAGCATAGCTCAGATTCTACCATATGGTGAATGCTTAGTAGATACTTGAAGGGCTAATGGACTCAAGCCCTGGGTGGGTTCTCATTGCATTTCTAACATGTGTTAGGTGGCTGTGGGCCACCTATGAGCCTTGTTTCCACATCTGTAAAGTGGCAAACAATTGCCATGAAGAACCTGGAAGAACCAGGACAGAAAACAGGGAGGATGAAGCATCCAGCCAGTCCTAGGAAGTTTCTGATGGATAATTCTTCAGATGCAGCTTGTGAGCAGGTCGATTTACAGAAGAGGAAACTGAGGCACAAGGAGGTCATGCTTAAAAGACTGTCGAGTGGGGCTGGGCGTGGTAGCTCGTGCTTGTAATCCTAGCATTTTGCGAGACTGAGGCAGGAGGTTTGCTTGAGGCCAGGAGTTCCAGACCAGCCTGAGCAAGAGTAAGACCTGTCTCTACTAAAAATAGAAAAATTAGCTGGGCGTTGTGGTGTGCGTCTATAGTCTCAGCTACTCAGGAAGCTGAGGCAAGAGGATTGCTTGAACCCAAGAGTTGGAGGTTGCAGTGAGCTGTGATGACACCACTGCACTCCATCCAGGGCGACAGAGCTGAACTCTGTCTCAAAAAAAAAAAAAAAAGAAAAAAAAAAGATCTGACATAGGATCAGCAAGGAAGGGGTGGGCTCTCTCCAAGGCAGCAGGCTCACTTTCCAAATCTGTTTGCTCCCTGGGTGGGCAGCACCAGGCTGGCATCTGCAGCGGAAGGTGCAGAAGGAGTCAAGACGTGGGTTCTGGAGTCAGACTGCCAGGGCTCCAGGCCAAGCTGCTCCTCTTTTCACCTGTGAGAACTTGTGACCTCACTGTGGAGGACACAGGTCAAATTGGCAGCTGGCACCCATTCCCCATCGCTTCTGTTCCTCTGTTGGAGAAACACTCCTCCCTCCTTCCTCCTTCAGCCCACAGGTTCAGGTGAGGCTGCTGGTGTGGGACCTGTGACCAGACCTGCCAATCAGCACGAGATTCTTCCTGCCCTGCACCTTTTACCTGTGTGATCACATGACCCCCAAATGTCAAAGTTAGAGTGAATCCTGGGACTTGTGTCACAATTCCCAGGAAGAGACCCTCTTTTCTTTTCTTTTCTTTTCTTTTCTTTTCTTTTCTTTTCTTTTCTTTTCTTTTCTTTTCTTTTCTTTTCTTTTCTTTTCTTTTCTTTTCTGACAGTCTCGCTTTGTTGCCGAGGCTAGAGTGAGTGCCATGGCATCAGCCTAGCTAGCTCACAGCAACCTCAAACTCCTGGGCTCAAGCAATCTTCCTGCCTCAGCCTCCCGAGTAGCTGGGACTACAGGCATGCGCCACCACGCCCGGCTAATTTTTTCTATATATTTTAGTTGACCAATTAATTTCTTTCTATTTATAGTAGAGACGAGGTCTCGCTCTTTCTTAGGCTGGTTTCGAACTCCTGACCTCGAGCAATCCACCCGCCTCGGCCTCCCAGAGTGTTAGGATTACAGGCGTGAGCCCCCGCGCCCAGCCGAGACCCTCTTTTCTATTGAACTAGAACTTGGCATCTGCACCTGGAGCTGCAGAAGACACTCATGGAGCCTAAACATTTCCCAAGACGGGGACAACCGAGTGAAGAGATTGAGTCTTTATGACGTTTTTGAGTCTCCAGATCAAGTCATGCCTGGATTTTTCAGTTTCCTGAGCCAGTATATTCCCTTCTTAGTTAGGTTTTCTGATAGTTGCATCAGAAAGAGTCTGAAATTCACATAGTGAACTTCCTTAACCTCTCTGAACTTCAGTTTCCTCAACTGCAAAATGGGGATGACAATGTAACGATATTTTTTAGGAGAGAGGAAGTGGTGTTCTCAAAGGGCTGATCAGGGTCCTCCACTTATATAGCCAGATGCATACTAGGTGCTTGAAAAACATCAGCTTTTAGGTGCTCCCTGAATGTTTATTAATGACTAGATGGCCAACTACAGCCCCAGGAGGTGGGTGACTTGCAAGGGTGGGATCCCTGGAAACCCAGGCAAGGAGGTGGTAGGCACCCCTGCAGGGGCCTGAACACCCTCCCTGACCCATCCAGGTGGCACCAAGAAAAGCTCTAGTGGGAGTTGGGAATCAAATTCATTTTACAGGTGCAGAACATGGGCCTCAGTGACTAGGACGGATCTAATGCCAAGTCCAGCCACTCTCCTGGGTCAGCCTCTCCCTTTGGGCACATCAGTTCTGTCCCCAGGGAGGGGGGGGGTCCCAAGGAGCTCACTCCTTTCCCCAACCTCAATCCCTCAACCAAGTTAAGTTATATGGGTCTGTTATTCTTAAATGAAGCTTTCAGAAAGAATCTTAACCGTTTTTGAAAGGCAAAAAAGGAGTTACAAATACTTTCTCCCTCCTACTAGTGAGGAGTGAGGGGAGGGCTTTATCTTCTTTAATCTGCTGTCTCAGGCCCAGGGAACTTTGCTGGGAAGGTTCAGTTTCCCCTTTCAGATCTCTAGTAGTCAGGATGCTGTCACTAGTTCAGGGCAAAGAACTTCCCCCTCCTCCCCACCGCCCCAGAGCCTGACGCAGATTTGCTAAAGGAAACCACCCGTCTCACAGCTTGCCACACCTTCCTTCCGGCAGGCCGGGTGCCAGGGGGTGGGGGTGGAAAAGGCACCCCGATCCCTCCCCACAGCCCCAAGATAACCAGCAACCCAGCCACATCATTCTCACGCCTGAGAAAGTGAGCTCACTTTGGGCCTCTCTCCTCCTTGAGCCTCAGTTTCCCCTTCTGTAAAATGGGGATAAGGACAGCAACCACCTCTTGCAGGGGCGTTTTGAGGGAATCATGGAGAGAAAACTCCTAGGGTGTCCAGCACTGGGATCAATCAGCACAAAGAAATAGGTGTTCGCCCCTCGTGCACCCCCCTGAGAGAGGAAGGCACGAGTGTGCAAGGTCACACTGCTGGCGAGTGCAGAGCTGGGATTCGAACCCAGGTCTACACAACTGCACGCCCAGGCTCCTTCCACCTCCTGGAGCGCAACAGTCTTTCGCCAGTGGGGTCCTCCCCACCCCCTTCCCTAATATTTTTCTTCCTCCGCCTCCACCCTCGGAGCCAGCCCTCCCTGGCGGCCTGGGTTGCTGGGCAGAAAAACTGGCCCTCCCTGCTCCATCCAGCCAGCTCGGGTCTTCCCAGCCCCGCCCCCGACCGCAGCCCCCGCTGACTCTCGGACACAGCTTCACCAGAACCTAGACCACCAGGAGAGAGGGGACCGTGTGCCCGCGGGTCTCCCTGCGTGACCGGGAGAGAGACAGGTCACCCCTAGTAACCCCTGAACTGGGCTCACCCAGTCTGCTTTGGTTGGTCCCTTCTGGTGGTGGAGGCGGGATCTCGGTCTCGGTGGCCAATGAGGAGGTCCGAGGGGGTGCTTTTTAGCCGCCATGGCAACAGGAGGCAGCATTTCCCTTCCACACAGGGCGGAGCCGGCTCTTCCGAGGACCCGCCACGTTGAGGCAGCCCTGTGGCTCCAGTTCTACCTTAGGATGGGGTGGGGGTCGGAAGTCGGGGAACAGCTAGGACACAAACCCTTGACAAATGCCAACAGGGTAGGTAAGTCCCAGCATGCCCTAGATTGAGAAGAGAAGGCTGCCCAGAAGAGGGACGCTATGAATAGGGTCTCTGGGAAGGGACAAAGAAACCCGACTTACTGCGATGCAGATGCAGCGGACACAGCACTGCAGGGGCAGGGCACAGGGAAGGGCACACTTAGGTAAGACGGAGTGGGGTAGGTGATTAGCAAGCAGATTAGGGTTTCCAAGCCAAGCCTACCCAGGGCAGGGTGGGGACCAAGATGAGCGGCCACAGCTGAATTGTGGGTCTCACACTGTCCTTAAGTCCTGGACAGGAAGAGAGAACCAAGGGTCACCAAGGCCATTTCCTTGCCTCAAGGTAGCTTGCACTCAGTCTTAGGTATAATCATGTCCGGTCTCGGGCATTCATTAACCTCATACTCTTCCCAGGAAAGAAGTAGGTGACCAGGTTCATTGTCCTCATTTCGTAGATGAGGAAACTGATGCCTGCCTGGTAAAATATTTCACCCTTGGGCCCTGGGGCCTGGCGTTGGGCCCCAAACAGGTCTCTTAAGGCCTTTAATTCCCTGGTGTGGTGGCTTGTCCAGGGAAGCCCTGTGCCACAGTTCTAACACTGTCCACCCCTGCTGATGGGGCCAGGGCCAGCTGAACCCCATGTTTAACAAGGCAGGTGAGCTGGGGCCAAGAACCCTGCCCCTACCTCTGATGGCCCTGGGTGGTGGTGGATTGAGTCTCCCTCCTCAGTCACTCTGGGAGTGAGTCCAGTGTCACCCCACACTCTTGGCCTTAAAAGCCCACAGTCTAATGGGGGACAGACCTACGATGACCATATGGTGTGAGAAATGCTGCAGGGGTGACATGGACAAAGCACAGTGGAGGCATAAAAGAAGGGGTGCCTAAGTCCTCCCAGGGAAGTCAGAGAAGACCTACACAAGACGCAGAGGTGTTTGCTAGGTAGCCCAGCAAGGGGAGGCCGCCCCAGGCATAGGGAGCAGAGGCCTGGAGTCCTCGCTGAGTGTGATACGTAGGGGAAACAAGTCTAGGAGTCTGGACTGGGCCTTTGGGCAAGAGCCAGGCTGTGAAATGAATGCCTAGGACAGGGCTGTGTGCCCCACAGCTGGGTGCCCTCACCCCCCTTCTGAACCAGCAGGCACCCAAATACACTTTAACTGGTAGATTTATGGAACCCCAAGAACCACTTCTCAGAACCCCACTTTGAGAAGCACTGGATTAGAAGTTAATCACTGTCAAGTACGGTCACACACAACTTCATGTGTGAATCTCACAGCCATAATGTTTAGAGGAGGCCCAGACTAAAGAGTCATCTTTCTTTTTCTTTCTTTCTTTTCTCCTCCCTCCCTTTCTTCCTTCTTTCGTTTCTCTCTCTCTTTCTTCTCTCTTTCTTTTCTTTTATTAGAGATAGGGTCTCCCTTTGTTGCTCATACTGGAGTGCAGTGGCCCAATCATAGCTCATAGCAACCTTAAGCCCCTGGGCCCAAGTGATCCTCCTGTCTCAGCCTCCTGAGTAGTGGGGCACCACCATGCCCAGCGAATTTTCAAAATTTTTTGTAGAGATAGGGATCTTGCTGTTTTGCCCAGGCTGGTCTTGAACTCCTAGCCTCAAGCGATCCTCCTGCCTAGGCCTCTCAAAGTGCTGGGATTACAGATGTGAGCCACCGAGCCCACCCTAAAGAGTCATTCTATATGACCCAGTTATATAAAATTCAAAACCAAGCAAAACGGATTCATGGTCAGGGTAGTGGTTACCTATGGGGGAGTGGAAGGTTGCTTGTGGTAGGGGACGGGGGCGATAATGACTGTTTCTTGAACTGTGTGTTGGTTTCTCAGGTGCATTCTTTGTGAAAATTGATCCAGCTGTATACTTAAGATTTGTGTATTTTTATGTATGTAGCTTCTACTTCAAAAAAACAAAAAAAAAGTTAACTGCTTTCCATAAACATCAGTGCAAATGTAGACACTAAAATTTCACATAATCGGCTATAAGCCAAGCATCCAGATGATGTAGAATATGTTTGTACTGATTTTTTTCAGACTACTCCAAAATGAAAACACAAACATTTTAAAGTCTTGTTAGAGAGCTCTCATACTTCAGAGAACCTGGCTACAGGCGCCTGGGTTTGAGAAACCCCAGTGCAAGAGAAAGCATTTCATTGCTTAGGCCTGGGGCTGGGGTACAGAGGGTCAGTGAGGGGCCTGGAGCTTCTTCCTAAGGCACAAGCTCCAATGGAAGTCCTGGTTTTGGGAGGAAAAGGACCTAATGGGTAGAGGTGACCATTTCCCACAAGCCACTGAGCCTTAGACACGGCTCCATTGTATTAATAGCTAGGGTGGCTGTGAGAGGCCGGTCAGTGTGCCTGTGGGTCTCCCTGTGATCTCCTGAAGGCAGGGGCCTCTTTCACTCACGCTGTGTCCCCAGGGCCCCACGAGGGGCCTGGTACACAGAGGGTCTCAGGGGACCTTTTCTGCCAGGGCCTCTTTGCCCAGTTCCATACTGAGAGTGGAGGAGGGCATCTGTTTGGGAAGCCAGGAGTTCCCCGTCACTGGCTGAGTTCCCAGCACAGGCTGACAAGTTGCCAGTGGGCTACGTTGCGGGGTGGGCAGTGGGGCATTCAAGGTGGGGTTAGGGTTGTCCACTTCCTCCTGGCATGGGGGCGCGGACTGTGGAGGGGGGCTCTGAGCCTTGGGGGCCAGGAATGTGAATAGGAAGCCCAGCCCTGCCTGCCTACCTGCCTTGCTGGAGCTGGTAACAGCCCAGCTCTTGGGGAGACAGACTATTCCAGAACCCAGAGAGGGCTGCACCTGTGGGCAGGACACCCCTGCTCAGCCACTCCACCCTGCCCTACTGTCTCCCCACTTCCTCTGGGGACTTTGCCTCTTATCTTTCTCCTGACTCAGTCTGTCTGGCCCACTCTTGGGAAGCAGCCTCCTTTTCCCCCTCGCCAACTCAACTCAGCCAGTGTTCCAGCGTTTCTCAAACCACTTTTGGGATTCCTGCCCTAGACTTGCACCTTCCTGGAGTAATACACACTCAATAATTTTTCTTTAAAATAATGCTAAGTGTGTGTTTAGGAGAAAGGATCTCACTCAGTCACCCAGGCCAGGGTGCAATGGTGCAACCATAGCTCACTGCAATCTCAAACTCCTGGGCTCAAGTGATCCTCTTGCCTCAGCCTCTCAAGTAGCTAGGACTACAGGCATGCACCATCATCAAAATTTTATTTTATGTTTCATATTTTGTAGAAACAGGTCTTGCTATGTTTCTCAAGCTGGTCTTGAACTCCTGAGCTCAAGCGATCCTTCCTGCCTCAGCCTCCCAAAGTGCTGGGATTACAGACATGAGCCACGCATCCTTGTTGTTGTTTTAACATGGCCTTGTTCTAAGATACTGGTGAAATCCTGATTCAATGTGTTGGTTTTATTGTTTTCTAATTCACATTAGATTTTAATTTAAAATACTTGGTCGTGTACCACTTAAAATGATCCTGCCTACCACCAGGTTGGAAACTGTCTTATACAATGGTTCACCCAGGATGGGTGGTTTTTAGTTATTCATAATAATTACAGTTGCACATTAGTGGTGAGTTTTATGCCTTTTCCACACATTCATAGTCTCATTTGATTCTGTCAGTCCCTGCGCTGCTGATCATTAGCTGCATTTACAGACCAGGAAACCGAAGCTAAAAGGGTAGTTGTGACTTTCCAGGGTCACACAGTGAGTTAGGACTTCGGTCCTAATTCCAAGGCTCTGGTGGCTCCTGACTAGCATGAAGGCAGGGGGAAAAGCAGCATTTCTCTGTATCCACTCAGACCCACAAGAGCCACAGGATGGAAACTCCTGGCATCAGGAGTTTGGATTAGACATGAGGAAGGACTTCCTGGCAAGAAATGTTTAGACCTCAGAATGAGTGCCTGAGGAAGGGCGTGGGGTGCCCAGCTTCCGAAGGCCTCCAAACAAGATAAAGACTTGCCCAGCTGGGATCATTCCAGTGCTGCCTGGAGGCAGGAGAATGGACTGAATGACCTCTTGTGGCCTCCTCCAGCCCCAAAGATGAGTGCACCCTGCCATTACGGTGACCATCCTTGCCATGGCCCCCAAGCATCTATTAAGCAAAGAAAGGCATGTAGAGGATCCAACTTAAAGGGACTGGGAAAAGCCTTGTGTTGGTTGGCCCTTCGCCCTGGGAGGGCGTGGTGGTTGGCCACAGCCACAGATCATTGGGCTGGGGAGTGGGGAGCAGAGCAGTTCAGGGGCTGGGCGCATTCTCTCACCTGCTTCCCTTCCTTCTGCTCTGGCAGCTCGCACCCCAGCTCTCCCAGGCTGGGGTTCCAAGACCTGCCTACCCTCAGAATCACCGCGGGCTTCTCAGCCAACAGGACCAGGGAACCTGCATTTCTTCAACACCCTCCAGGGGATTCTTTTCAGAATGTCCTGAGCTAACGAAGTCAATACATGCTGACTTAAGTTGTTGCCTCTCTAGCAGCTGGATTGTATTTTTTTAAATTTTGAAAGTCAAAATGTTTATTTCTCAAAACAGAAAAATCATTATCTTCCTTTCTGATTCTACAAATAATATACTCCTAGATTTTTTCTCTTTCTTTTCTTTTTTTAATTGAGACAGGGTCACTCTGTTGCCCAGGGAGGAGTGTAGTGGCGTGATTATAGCTCACAGCAATCTCACACTACTGGGCTCAAGTGATCCTCCTGCTTTAGCATCCTAAGTAGCTGGGACAACAGGCATGCGCCACCACGCCCAGCTAATTTTTTCTGTTTTTAGTTGCCCGGCTAATATTTTAATATTTTTAGTGGAGACAGGGGTCTTGCTCTTGCTCAGGCTGGTCTTGAACTCCTGACCTCAAGCAATCCTCCTGCCTTGGCCTCCCAGAGTGCTAGGATTCTAGGGGTGAGCCACCTTGCTGTACCCCAAAATTCTATCCTCTAGAGAAACAGGGTTGCTTTTAGAGCACATCCTTCCCCCAAAATTGCTTTTGGTAAAATATACACAGCATAAAAATGTATCATTTTAATCATTTTGAAGTGTATATGATTTCTATTTTTATAAAGGCCTCCTGAAAACAGGGCTAATAGTGCCACTTCGGACACCTCGATGAGCTAGTGGGGAAGATGTTTCTGGGGAAGGGCCCTTTGGACATTGCTCAGATGGAAACAGGGAGGCAGCCACTGCGTGAGGTGTCAGGTTCGTCCTGTTAAAATATTAAGATCAAGGGTGACTCCATTTGGGTGTATGAGGGAAAGCGGGTCTGTCTCCTGACAGGACCTCGTGAGCAGAAGCCAGGGGCCTCGCTTTGCTTTGCTGAACTTCTCCAGGAGATCAGTGTGTAAGCCAAGGAAGGAGAGAGCGCAGCACCCAGCCCTCCCTGGGGATGTGCCTGATTATCCTGGTGGGGGCCTGGGGTGTGTCTCTGGCCCTGGCCTTTGGGGTGAGCAGGAGCCGCAAACTCTGGAGGCCAAGGAGGGCCAGGACGCAGCAGCAGTGAGCCAGGAACTGATAAGCAGCCCTGGGGAGGAACAGGCCCTTGGCAGGAAGGCGGCAGCCGCAGCCAGCAGAACAGGGAAGGGCAACGCCAGCCTCCTGCATCAGCCCGGCTCGCGCAGGGCTTCCTTCCTCCGCCCCGTGGAGGACAGGAGGGCAAAGAGGGCCTCCAGGTCCCAAACAAGGACTTCAGCGGGTGGTCGGGAGACCTTCAGTCCTGAAACTACAAGCATGGACTTAGCAAATCCCCTGGGCTGGCTTCAAAAGGACCTTGAACTCAAGGAGTGTAAACTAACTGGGCAGGGACATCCCCTTGCTCCTGTGCATTACCTGTCCTCTCTTTTCCAAACCAGGAGTGATCGCTGTCCTTGTTGATATGCTACCACACTTATGTAACCCTCACCCAACCCTTATCACATGCTGATTCGCGGTTTTGCCCTCCGTGTGTGCCAGCTGAGCCGCAGAGTCTTCAGGCGTCTGCGTACCTCCCACTGTGCCCAGTCCGGCGCCCTGCACAGAGCGGACGTTTAGGCAACGTCCACACAGTGAGGTTTGTGTGAGGGGTCCTGACAGCAAGAGTTGTTGGTGTTCTGAAGGACACAGTTTCGAGGCCCTTCTATGGTGGCTTGCAGGGCTTCCAGGAGGAGGTGAGCTGTGTCTGTAGGTTCCTGGAGGTAGCACAGAGTTCAGCTGATGGCGAGGAAGCGGCATTCTGAAGGTGGGGCCTGCTGGGGGGATGATGGGGTCGAGCTCCAGGAGATCGCACATGGGGTGACCCCCCCCTCCCCGCCCCCCTGCCTCCCCCACCCCCCCGCCTCTGTCCACAAGCTCTGGCAGGCTTGCATCTGTGTCTGCCAGGAGGCAGCGCGAGACGCAGGGGCTCCGGTTGCAGTCATGAGCCTCAGTGGGGCTCGGGTGCCGTCTTTTCCAAGAAGCTGACTTTTGAGGAATCTGCCTGCCCTCGGGAATCATGACGTGTTTGTGCCGGCTTCAGTTGTTGATTAAACCCACATCCGTGCAACCAGCATCCCAGGAAGAACACTCTCTTCCTCACGACGTGTCCTCACTCCTGTTTTCATGTTTACGAGCATCAGGTGGTTTGCAGAGCCATCCACACCCAGACGTGTGTACCCAGTGAGGTCAGCTGAGAAAACAACACCGCCACCACTCTGCTGCCCTTCATTCTTCGAGCTGCAGGCTGGGGCCACTGTCACCCATGGGCACACCCCTGCCTCCCACCTTTGTCACCCCTGGGCACGCCCCTCCCCCCACCCTCACCCGCCCCCTGGAGGCTCCCTCTCCCTTCTGTCCCTGCTCCAGCCTCTCCTTTGCTCAAACTCTTGTTTACCAACACAGACCAGAACATTCTGCCTCCAGCAGAAACACACATGGTGATGATGCCGCTACACCCTGCCATCAACACACTCCCACTCGCTGTTTGCCGCTGTCAAAGCTGTGCTCACACACACGTTCTCACCCACTCCTGCCAACACAGCTGCTCCCCGCTGCCTGGATTCGGGCCCTCCACCTCACATGACATGGGTTTTTCTCCATGTACGTGTGTGCTCATGGTGGAGGCATATACTTATGGACCAGGCAAGCACATGCTCTTTCCTCTGACCTGGGGTGGCGATCTGTCACTGGCTACTGTGTGACCTTGGGCAGTTGACTTGCCCTCTCTGGGCATCAGATGCCTCATCTGTAGAATAAGGATAGTGATGACCTCTGTAAGGTAATTATATATATCGTCTGTAAGGGCTTTATTGCCTCTCTGGGGTTTTGCCCACGGGGCCTGAGTGTTAGGAGAGAGCAGCACCTGGCAAGTGCTGAGGCAGCGGGAGCCGTCGGTGGCAGTGACGGGCATTGTAGCCTCTCTGGAATCCAGACCTTGGTTTCCCTTTCCCAGGCCAGCTGTCAGCCTCACCTCATGTTCACACCCTCCTGGCTGCATGACCTTGATCCAGGTGTGTCACCTGTCTGCTTCTCATGTCTCGCAGGTGAAATGGGTATAACGACTGCCTGGCCATGCCCACAAACCTGCTGTGGGGGCCCAGAGGAGAGGGTACTATAGTGTTGGAGATTCTATCGATCCTGGCCCCAGCGCAGGGAGTGGTGGAAGGAAGACATCTGAATAGGCGGTAGCCCAACTGGGCATTCTTGGCCCCTTCCCAGCTTCCCTTGTCTTCTTGGCCAATCCTCTAGCTGGGGTCAGTGTTTCCTGTTTGGCCCACTGTGGGGCTGCCATCTGCCCAGGAGGCCACACTGCCCATCTCTGTGGCTCCTGAGGGCCTCACCCAAGCCATCCATGACCCCTCCCAGCAGGATCCCCCTAAGCCCCTCCCTCCTCGTTTCCACTGTGCGGTGGTGGTGGCCCCTCTGGCTCTCTCCACCCGCATAGGACAGTCCCCCGCCCCCTGCCGTGTACTCCCATCCTCCCCTTGCCCATCAGTAGCCCCTTTTTGTCTTGCCTCCCCAACCTTGTCTTTCTTCTTGGCCAGCATGGCTGCCCTAGCCTTTTCTATTCTGGGAAACAGAGAGGGGGATTTAGAAGGGAAAGAAAACAACAGTCATTTGAGGATCGAGAAAAATCTGGGCTGAGCGGAAGAGTGTGGCGCTGTCACCGGGGAACAGGCGCTGGAGCGGGCTGAGCACCACGTCAGGCTGTTCTGGCAAGCTGGGTGTCCCCCAACACTGCACCGACTTACTTCCTGCCCCTTGCTGGGAATATGTGAAACTGTTGGCCGGCTGATCCTGGCCTGGTCCATGCAGGTTGTGGCTTCTCCCTGTCCCTGCATGGGGGGACTTCCAAGCTCTGGCCACCACTGGGAGCCACTGGAGATCTGTTGGCCCAGGTGAACCGTGGTAAACAGGCTGCCCCTAAACTTTGAAACCCCAGGCAAGAGTATAAATGGAGACCCACACAACACTTGTCTAAATATTCAAAATTTATAAACCAAGCTAATAAGCTATCAAATAAAATAAGATTTATCATCTACCTCCCTGAATAACCTCAGAATAACCTGGAAAGCCAGGTGTGAATCTGGAGTTCTTGGACTCTATGGAGTCCTTCTCTGGAACTTGGGGGTAGGTGACAGCGGGACTAGCCATGCAACGTGTGCAGCGGGGCTCCAGGGAGTTGGCTGATTGGGCACAAACACAAACTGTTTCAGTCTATCAATACTTTATGTTTGCCAGGCACAGTGGCTCACACCTATCATTTTAGCACTTTGGGAAGCTGAGGTGGGAGGATTGCTCGAGCTCAGGAGTTCAAGACCAGCCTGAGCAACATAGCAAGACCCCATCTCTACAAAAAACGCAAAAACTGAGCTGGGTGTGATGGTGTGCACCTGTAGTCCCAGCTACTCGGGAAGCTGAGCCAGCAAGATCACTTGAGCCTGGGAGTCTGAGGTTGCTGTGAGCTATGATGATGCCACTGCACTCTAGCCCAGGCAACAGAGTGAGGCCTTATCTAAAAAAAACAAAACAAAAAAAACCCTTTATGCTTTTTATTTTCTCCTAGGCCAGGGTGACCAAAAGATCTGATCTACAAGGCAGTTTAGCACAACGGTTAATACCTGCATTCAAATCCCAGGGCTGCCAAAAGTGAGCAAGCCAGTTAATCTCTTTGTCAATTTCCTCATCCATCTGTAAAATGGGACTAACAATACCTCCCTGATAAGGTCATTGTGATTATTAAAAGAGATAATCTATGTAAAGCCCTTAGCATGGTCCTGGAACATAATATTTGCTAAATCGTGTGCTATTATTGCTCTTACAATGTCTCCACGCATGGACAACGCCAGCATCACAGCAGGAAGTCATCTGCCCGTCTCATTGTGCACGTGATGAAACAGCTCACTCAGCTAAGCAGAAACAGATCTGGAACCAGGTCTTCCAGTCTTCCCATGGTCTTGGGGTTTGATCCGAGGAAAAAGAAAAAAAAAATGGTGGCACAACAATGTGAATGCACTTAATGT